CCTGTGGCTGAAATTGTTGAGCTTCTTCGCAATTCAGCCGAGCGCACTTGTCGCTTCGCAATGAAATTACGCTCTGTTGGCGAATGCGCTATGGGCGCACAGGTGTTGATTATGTTTGGGAGGTAGCGGTCGAAGAGGCAACTGTTCTGAAGGACGACGAGCGAACTTGGACATAGCGCGACTTGAATCAAGCGAGAGAAGAGAGAACTGAACCGTCAGAGTATTCGCTGCCATGCAAAAATTGGGCCCATTGCTTGCGCAATTTCCTTCAACTTCGACACCCGGGGTTAATTTTTATTGAAGAAATCCTATATGTGAGGATGCTTCTCGACCCCGTGACATGAACCGGCACAGCCGGGGCCCATGTCGGCGAGGGAGGAGGAGCACGGGCCCTTGTGGTTGAAGGACTTCCCGACAAAGAGGACGCCGGGTCGAACGCGGATGCACTGGGCAAGGAAAAAGGATCCAAACGACAATAGACTCAGGATTCCCTTCCCCAGGGAAAAGAACTTTCTAATGCACGGTGACGATGCGGATGTGGGCGCAAGTCCTGCTGCCGAGAATTTTCTCTTGCGCGCGAACCCCCCACTGACGCCTAATCATAAACGGCTCCGTCCCGAGGTGCAAGACCTTGCAGGTCGGGCTAGGGGCGTCGGCCGCGCGACATTGAATATCGACGGAGAACCTCTGCACCTTGCATCGCGGAAGCGAGTGGACGTTCGAGAGAAAACGAGCGACGAGGTGCGGAAGCAGGTTACTGAAGCCCACGGGGCTGGCCCAGTACCCCCGCACATTACGGCTGCTCGTGGGCGCACCTATAGCACAATCAAGGACAACGCACGCTTGGTACAATCATTGACGGTGAAATAAAAACGGATGAGTTTGAGCCAGCGCTCATATATTTCTGAGAGCAGAGTTCGATTCGGATGACGGACCAGACTCTCTTCCACAGGAGGTTTCTAACGCGCTCATTCCACTTGTAATGCCGCATGACGCCCCCGGCACAGCCGAGGAAGCGGAGGAAACAACCCTGAAGAATTATCGCGGTGCTGCCATGCTGGGGAGCTCAAACTTCTGGCGGAAGCGTAGTCACCGATCTCGCACACAAGCACAATCCATAGGTGAGTGCTTGGTGTACCTGGCGAAACATTGTGCTGAGTACGCCCGATCATCGGGCGTGTGGGTATACGTGGGTGATCTGATCCAGAAAATGATGTCATACGGAATATCACATGCCACTACTGCTCTTGCCATGCACGCTTTCACGATGCTGCCATCAGGAGAGATCGATGTTCTCGGTGTCCGATCCGATGATATGAGGATCATCGAAGGAACGAGGGTATATGCGCAATGGAATTCTTTCCTGACCCCCGACGCCTCATACGACGCAGTGGTTGATGAGGACAGCGGGAATCGAGTCATCAATGTCGATGGAGCGGAACGGGCCACCAAGCCCATCCCATTGTTCTTTCGCGCGTGTCAGGTGCACTCTTGTTTTGCTCGCAACATTGAGCGCATGTATGCTCCTTACGAATTTGGGATGGCGCGGTGTCATGGGCATTTGTTGCACGTTACATCCATGGAGGCTATAAAGGAATCAACTCTTGGTAGGGGGATCGTCAAATACCCGAGTAAGCGCAACGGGCTGTGCAAGGCGCCGGATTCTGATATCCTCAGATTGAGACCAGCGAAGCATGAATTTCCCCCACAGCACGCTCAGTATATTCCCCACTGGCTCAGCCAGCGCAAGGGCGGTGACGCTCCACCCATCAGGGCGTGCCAGGTTGAGGGCGCTGTTTCTGTCGGCGGTGGATTGCCCACTCGAGGATAGCGGCCTCGAGCAATTACCCCACATTTATGGGGCATTGAGGCGGCGCACAATGATAATTGGCAGTATGTTATTGTCTGCAACAGACGGGTACTGTCTCGCCTTCGATACCGCATCTGTCGTGAAGGGGTTTTCGCAACGACAGGTGTTGCGCGTTTTAATGACTTTTCTCGAATAATACAACTGGCGACGGTGCGTCAGATAGGCATGAACCATCAGGCGCTGATGGTGTGAACCTTGATCTTTTCCCAAGAATGGCATGCATGGGAAGTGGCCTTCTCGCCTGATACCATCAGGCCGTGGGTTTTCTCTGATGAGGACGTACTTGACGCCAGGCGACCCATTCTTTCTGACGAGGAAAAGATTTTTATAATGCAGAAGCCGTGGACTGATGACGACAGGTACATTTGTGCGAACTGCCTCGCTGCAAGGGCAGGTTTTGGATAGTGTTGTGTTTATATTGCCATGTTATGGTCATACGAATCGAATGTCAGAGCGAATTATCTGCAGAAGCTGGCCGAACAGGCGTTGTCTGCTGCCTGGGCGCCACTGGGCCTAGGGCCGCGTCCGGAGAAGCCCCCGAGGGGAGAGAACCGGTCCAAGGCCGTTGTTCATGGGCTAAGAGCCTAGAGCAATGAACAAAAGCTCTTCTGATGCCTAGGACAATCTGGCCAAGGTGGAACAGCATCAACGCAAGTGGGCTCTTGATGAGGCAGCCCGTAATAAGGCGGCGTCGGCTGGTGGGGCATGCATTTTTTCGATGCCGGGGACTGTTCTGTCATGGCGTCCCAGTAGCGCCTCGGCTCAGCCGCCGGCGCGACGTGAACCTTTCTTCCAGTATCTTGAACCCTTGAAGCTTGGATTTCTCGATTGATTGAAACACAAGCACAGGGGCGATGATCGCCCCGCTGCTGCTCTATGGTGGCCATGTATCTGGACACCTGACCTTGACCAATACGCTCGCCCTAAGAAATGTTCTGCGCTCGCTGTGTTCGATTGGGACCACGTTAGTGCAGATCTTATGCAACCAGAAGTGGGCTGAGATCAGTGGGAAAAGGAAATGGAGGAGAGGGGAGTTGTTATTCCAACGTTACAAATATTGATTGACAATTCTGGAGCGGCGAACCAGGCGCCCGCATTCACCACTCTTGGAGACTGAGATATTGATTTTCAAATTGTTGTTGATCTTCATCACCGGCCAAGCCGAGTGATGATGTGGTTTTACAACGTGAAAAAAGGCGGAAAAGGCCGAATGGTGTTTCCAATGTTTACATTGCACAGCGTCACAAGATGATTCTTGCAGATAGGGACTTGGCTTTCCGGCATGATTAAATCTCGATTTATGATTGCATGGGTGGTTACAGACATGACAACGACACATACGAGAGGTCAGATGTCATCAGAGTTGCACCACAGTTCGTTCTTGAATACATGGCGGTTGACCCAAACGCGAGGCAACTGGATTCGGACGTGATCCATGAAGCGCCTCCAGGCTTAGGACAGTTCATAGATCAGATTTGGGATCAGCCGTTCAACCGTGCCCCTGTCCATGGATGAGGGGGGAGGGTTGTTTTAGCTGTGCGCGAGATGATATTCTTGTGTATGTATGCGGGAATGTCTATTGCGTTTCCCAGGCATAAAGTGCAGCGTACTCCGATGTCTGATCAATACTCCGGGGATGCATATGCTCTGGATTGTCGAACCCGATAAACATTCGAAGCATTCGATTTGCCTGGTAATTGGCTTGGAGGATTTGGAACTGAGGTTTCCAAGACCGCGCGAGATAATTGTTCCAGTATTCATGAAACCATTGTCTTCATTAGCATGTTGACAAATCAATTACGAAGTGTCAACATTTGTCACGCTAGTAGCCTTCTCGGAGGTTTTAAAACCGATGACGCTATCGACGAGACTGGATGGATTGATCCGGACAGAGTTCGATCCTGGGCGGATGAGTCCAGGACTGAGGCATATATACCACAAGCACCGGCAGGCACGCCGGGTGGCGGATCTTCCCGCGATGGCAATGGCGCTGGGCCGCTCATGGACGGCATCTACGACGCGACCGTCGACTACGAAGACAAAAGCGAAACTGGATATATTCAAGGGCATCATGCATATGTTTCTCGAGCCCAGCCAGTTACTGGCCGCGGCAAACAGTGGCAATGTCTTGTTGATTACAATGATAAGTTCCATCGTTCTTCTGGAACATCAAGAACCTTGCGAGTGCCTGCGCCCCCACCTGCGCAGATGGCGAGTTCGCCGGAGAAGGGCCGGGGCAAGAGTGAACAAAGTAAATGGGGCCCGTCAAGTGACTGGATCGCAAGAAGAGAATGGCAATGGGAGGACCCTTGGGAATCAAGAGGCCGTTGGATAAGATGAAGATGAAGATGACTGGGTCCTGCGCGACACAGTCGATGCTAAATCGTACTACTTCGTGGAGTGGATGCACCGGGTGTGCGCGGGCATTCAGACCTGAGCTGAGAATATTAGCCCACGCGGGGAACGTCGGACTTCTCGGGCCTTCCGCCTCCACGCACCCACCGTTGAGCGGTGAAACTGTTCTTGTGGGGTTTGCTCTGGTGGTTGTACATATGTACAGGCTTGGCGGGTGGGGGGTCGGGGCGGCTCTACATATCCCGCCGCGGGGGGGGTCAATGCACTTCTCCGCGCCACCAGGTTCCTGCCTTTCTCAGCCGTCCTGCTCGCTTCTCACTGGCTGCTTCTTTCCTTGCTTAGGACATCTTGCGTTCCGCAGCTGTTATCGTCAATTGACGGCTCAGGTATAGCGGAAAAGGAGCGCGCCCGCGCGCGGCCGCGCGCGTCGGCCGGCGGGCCGGCCTCCTCCCTTCAGTGTTATATATGTTGCATGCTTAACGGCATTATCCTATATTGCCCATGTCTCCTGTGGAGCCCATTGACTATGAGACATCATCGGGACATATCGCAGGGATCATGAATATCCAGGCGAAAGGCTGATTTATCGATCGGGCTTTGAAAACCAAAATCGCTTGGGGCATCCTCACTGTTCAAGTCCGCCCGCCCTCTACGACTTCATGATTTATCCCACAATAATTCCGCCGGCCCTCTTCGAACTTGGCATTGGGGGGCAGGTTTACCATCCTGAAAAAGAGCCCTGGGCCAACGCCCTTTACGGGAAAACGAATGCGAG